GGTCCCTGTAGATCGGAGCCCACCGACGCTGTCCACTGTTCCTCCCCATTCCCCCGATGGAGAAACTGAGACCCGGCAAGGGGCCAGGACCCGCCCTAGACCCTCCGCGAGCCCCTCCCCGGGTCTCACCTGCCGGCTGCCGCGGCGCGCGGGTGGTTTCCTGGAGTTGAGCGGCAAACAAAGGCCTCCAATCCGGGCGCGGGGCGGAGCGGCGATGTTTTGCATAATCTCGAGACCGGCCTATGACGGCCCGGGAGCGGCCCCGGGAGGCGGGGTTTCTAGAAGTTTCACCAATCGCTGAGAGGTGGCAGCCTATGTGCCGCCCCAAGAGGTTTGGACGTAAACTCCAGGCTCCAGGACTGAAAATCTCAAATCTGGGAGATTGCGTGTTCTTCTGAAACCCGCCCAGCCGCAGATGGGAGACTGAGGCGCCTGGAGTTAAGATGTTTGTGAAGGGTTTCACAGAGCCACAGTGAGGAGGAATCCATCAACTTTGATGGCGGAAACGAATAATTAACACGACAGTAACGATAATAAACTTTTCTAGAGCCCTTATGTGTCAGGCACGGTTGTAAACTTTTCCTGTGTCCGATCCTTTCCTATAAGGTAAGTAGGTATTATCACTACCCCTCAAGTGTATTCTACTCGAAACCATCTTTTAGACAAGCAGGCAAACGCAGGCCTGGGCAGAGATGGGAACTTGCCTAAGGTCCTGCAGTGAGAACGAGACAGAAATAATCCATTGTTCAATGAGAGTGCTCAGGGAAGGATGACAGTGTAAGGTGTCAAACTGGCCTAGGTTCTCGCCCCAGTTCTGCCGCTCGCTGCCACTGAACTTAAGGTAAACAGGATTCTTTCTCATCTCACAGGGTTGCTGAAGGGAGTAAATGAATAAACATCGCACCAGGCTTATAAGAAATAAACCAGTGACACTAGTTTAAAGGGTTCCTCGACCAATCCTATCTCACAGGGGGAAGGGCGTATAACAGGCCCTGAGACAGGAAGTGATCTGCCCAAGGTCTGGTATCCAGCTGTGTTACAGCCCAGTTCTCTTTCCTTTTGGTGGAAAGCTCCTCCCATTCCCCAGGTTCGGTGACCCCCTACACGCTTATCTAATGGTGATTGTAGTAACCGCTTCTATGCACTGAAGGTTTACTCTGTGCCAAGAGCAGACATTTTAGCTACTCCTTACAATAGCCCACAAGTTAGGTTAGTATTATACTCCTGATTTAAAGATGAGAAAATTACAATGCTAATTATATGTGTAATATAAAAGAAAGAACTTATTTACAAAATAGAAATAGACTCATGGACACTGAAAACAAACTTAGGTTACCAAAGGGGAAAGCAGGAGAGAGATAAATTAGGAGTTTGGGGTTAGCAGATACACACTGCGTGCTGAATTGCTTCAGTTGTGTCTGATTCTTTGAGACCCCATGGACTGTAGCCTGCTGGGCTCCTCTGTCCATGGGGTTTTCCAGGCAAGGATACTGGAGTGGGTTTCTGTACCCTCCTCCAGGGGATCTTCCCAACTCAGGGATCCGACCTGCGTCTCTTACGTCTCCTGCGTTGGCAGGTGTATTCTTTACCACTAGTGCCACCTGGGAAGCCCAACAGGTACACGCTACCGTATATAAAATAGATAAACAACAAGGACTTGCTGAACTATATTCAAGATCTTGTAATAACCTATAATGGAAAGAATCTGAAAAAGGATGTGTGTGTGTGTGTGTGTGTGTGCATGTTTGTACTTACATAACTGAAGCACTTTGCCGTATACCTGAAACTAACACGACATTCAATTTAAAAATAAACAAATATGGTGATGGGGAAAAAAAGAAATATGAGGCTCGGAGAAGTTAAGTGATCTGCCCAACTCACACAGCCAGGAAGGGTGGAAATAGAAGTTGAGTCCAAATGTCAGACTCTGAGGTCTGGACTGTCTGAGGTGCGCCTTGTTCTCTGTCCTCATGACCCTCACAGTGGGCGGCTCCATCCCTCAGCCTGCTTTCTCCCAAGCAGAGAGGGCGCCAAGTGATTTGAAGGCCAGCTTGGCACTTGCTTGGGCAGGCCCAGTCTCAAACCAAAAACTTGCCCTCTTCCTGCCTTCTCCTTCATCTAGCAGCAGATCCTGAAATTGTCTAGCTGTGCCTTCCCTCTTCCGCCTTCCCCCAGCTCTGACATTATGCGTGAAGACATTAGGGCCATAGACATATATGTGGCCAGGCAGACCTCTGGCCCCTCACTCTCCCAATGTCCAAGCTGCCTTAGCCCACTGTTTTGGGTCCCTTCAAAGGCAACAGGACATCTGCTTATTATCTTGGAGCTTCACATGGTGAACCTCAGGTAGCCGTGGGTCCAAATTTGTCCGCTACCACTCACTAGCTATGCAACTTTGAACAGTAACTTGGCCTTTCTAAGCCCACTTACAGAGGTATGTTTGTAAGTTTAAAATTCCACTGGGAGGGGAACCCTCACAGCCAATGGCCTACAGTCCCAGAGTCAGACCCAGGAATTTCAGAACCAACAGCTCCAGAAATTCTTTCTTATTCTTTTTCAGAGAACGAATTTGGGACAGCAGGCAAGCAGTTGCCAGGAGTTCCCAGACCCCTGGGGTTGGACTGAGTAGGGAGATGGCTAGTTCAAGACACAAGAAGTCATGACCTGTCCTGGAGTTCGTAGAGCAGGCCAATAACTGGCCTGAAATTCATACCGCAAGTAGATAACAGACAAAAACCTCTGGATTCAGAACAGATCCACAAGGACTTGGGCCTAGAAAAGATGTGGTTTATAAGGTCAGAGGGCTCCTCCTTCACCGTCATTCTGACTGCAATCATCTCCCTGGGGCAGACTCAGCCTGGTACTCTGAGCCCACACACAGCATCCCAGGCTCCATCAGAAGCGAGCAGCAGTATCCCCACTGTATTTGTTTCCTGTGGCTGTTGTAACAAATTACCACCAGTTCATGGTTTAAGACAATACCAGGTCTTCCCTGGAGATCTAGTGGTTGCAATTCCACGCTTCCACCGCACGGGGTGTGGGTTTAATCAGTGAAATGAGATCCTGCATGCAATGCAGCTTGGCCAAAAAAATAAAATAAAAAGCTAAAACGACACTAACTTGTTCTTCCAAAGAGAGGTCATAAGTCCAAAATCAGTCTCACCTTACTAAGGTCAGGGTGTCGGCAGGGCAGGTTTCTTCGGCAGGCTCTCAGGGAGAATCCATTTCTTTGCCTTTCTTCAGTTTCTAAACGGCCACCTGTGTTCCTGGGCTCGTGGTCCCTTCCTCCATCTTCGAACTTCATCACTGCAACCTCTGCTTCCATCATCACAACACCTTTCCTGTCCTATGTCAAATCTCCCTCTGCCTCCCTCTTACGAGGACCCTTCTGATTACATGGGGCCCACCCAGACGATCGAGGATAACCTCTCTGTTTAAATGCCCTAAATAAGCACATCTCTCTTTGCCACAGGAAGTAACGTTCACACGTAACAGGAATCTCTGGGAGCCGTTACTCAGCCTACCTCACCCATTTTCTAGACTAGGAACTCGGGTTCAGAAAGGTGAAATCACCTGCCCGTGACCACACAGGATGTGGAATTTGATGCCAGGAGATCTGGGGCCTGACGAAGCCCTTCTTGCAGGGGTACCAGAACTGGAGAGGAGCATACAGAGTCCCATGGGGAGCGCTGGGGTTTGGGGGGATACTGGCGGCTTCAGAGGTCAAGTGGAAGCCAGGGCTCTGGCCTCAGGTGATCTCCTTAAGCTGGGGAGGGGACACGAGCAGCTAAGAGCAAGATCTGATAAAAGTCTGTGGGATCAACCACCCCCAACCCATTTCTGGCAGATCCCTGGACACGGCTGGACAAAGCAGGACTTTTCAAACTCTTCTTTCTGCAGAGAAAGCCTGGGGATGGAGGAAGTGGGCACCGGGGCTGGTAGTACGGCCCCTCCCCTCTGCCCCCTTCACATGTTTTTGCTTCTAATACCCACTGCCTTTGGCTCCTGCACCAGCTTCATGCGCACAGGTAGGAAGCGACTGGGAAGTCACCGCCTCTTCCCTGTCCCCAGACCTTGTCTAAAGACTGACAACTTGAAGGCCCTGTCCCCTTGCCCTGAGCGGAGACAACTCTAAGTGGAACTTGCACTCCAGTGTCCCCCGTGGGATCAGGCTGCAGCTGTCCTCCCAGGACTCCGCCTGAAATCACATCCTGCTTGCATTCCTCACCTTCGCTCCTGATTCACCCGCTGCTTTACCAGCCTCCCTGCACACTGCTTCGGTGAGTCACCTGCACACACATCCTCGTCTCAGAGCCAGTTTCTGGGATCCGTCCTAAGATAGGCCACCTCTGTGTGTGTGCGCGTGTTTACGATTTTATTTAGTTATTTTTGGTCGCACTGGGTCTTCACTGCCGCGCAGGCTTTTCTGTAGTTTCGGCCAGCAGTGGCTGCTCTTCGTGGCGGTCTCTCTTATTGTGGAGCGTGGGCTTTAGGCTGCAAGGGCTCAGTGGTTGCGGGTCCTGGGCTCTAGAGCTCAGGCTCAATAGTTGTGGCTCACACGCTTAGTTGCTCTGAGGCATGTGGCAACTTCCTGGACCAGGGGTTGAACCCTTCCTTAGTCTCCTGCATTGGCGGGCAGATTCTTTACCACTGAGCCACCAGCGAAGCCCCTTTCTGTGTTTTAAAACATTCATGCCCATTGTGCATTCTGTCTCATAACATACCTGTGTATTTTAAATACTCTAATATAAGTTTCAGGGGTACAGCATTATTAAACCTATATACACCTGTGCATTTTGATCTACAGATGTTATCTATAACCTTCAGGGAAGGTGTTCCAAGACGTGGGTGTCACTCCAGTGCCCCTGCATCACCCTTTGTGTGACCCAAGTGGAGCCATGGGAGGCCAGGGAAGATGTGATGCCCTGGGTACCCACCCCTCTCTCCACATCAAGCCCAGCCATACAGACAGGCCACATAGCACGCTGGATCCTAATCTTGTTCAGATCTCTTTATTGAAAAATTAAAGTCATAAGCTCTGTATATAAATACATTGACATCACTGGTCACCTGCAAGGCCTCTGGGATAGGCTGGGGGGTGCAGTGAGAAGCTGGGGTCTTGCAATCCCCAGGGATGTGGGATGGAAATAAATAATAAATATCATGGGGGATGAGGAGCTAGGAGGAACGGGGGTGTGAATGGGGGTGCTCGATGCTTATTTGTGGCACTGAAGGTCCCGCAAGATGCCCCCCGGGTTGGGGGCCGTGTCCACGAATTCTTCTGTGACTTCATTCCAGAGACTCCGGCATCTGGGGATAGGCCAAGTCCTAGCTGGCCAGGGAGCACTCAACTCAGAGTTACAGGACCTGGGAGGCTTCAGGTGAAGACACAGGTGCTCCGCCCTTCCCCTTTCGTTCTCCTCTTCCTGAGGTTTCACGCTTGTATTGAGCACCTACTGTATACCACGATTGCATCAGACCCTGACCTGACCTTCTGTTTGCCTCGCCCAGCTCTCTTCTCCCGGTTCTGGTCCAATGGGCCAGTGCGGAGTGGAGGGGGGATGTCTTCCTGTTTCCCTGGCCATGCAGCTCCAGCCCCCGAAGGAGCTCAGCAGTGCCAGGAGGGAGGAGGGACCAGGGCTGGGGGCTGGGCAGCGGTGGGAGGCCCACGGGCCTTGGCCCCTAGAGCAGCACGTTGAACTCGGTGACCAGAAAGTCGATGTAGTCTCGCTCCTTGGTCTTGAAGGCCTCCGCGATGATGCGCGCGGCCTCCCGGTGCTCCTTGCCCCGAAGCGTCAGCCCGTTCACTTCCAGGATCACGTGCCCCACCTTGAGCTGCCCGCAGTTGTGGGCTGAGCCGCCTCGCTGCAGGAGTGAGATGCAAGGCATGGGCACCGGGGACACCCCAGGGCCGGCCTTCACTGCCCACCACTGCCACCCGGGGAGCCACGATCTGTGTGTCCACGGCCCTGATGAGGAAAACCGAGGCTCGGGGAGAGCCAAGGTGCTATGAGCCTGGGGCTGCCTGTGGGCATGGCAAACCCCTGGGGATGCTGAGAGAGGGACCCTCATGGGTAGGGAGCGATGGGGGGACGTACCTGAATCGTGACGATCCTAGGCAGGGGCTGGCGGGTGTTGGCACCACCCTCGATGGCGATGCCCAGGGTGGCCGCACTTTTCTTCACGCGGATGAGGGTGGACGTGGGCTCCAAGAGCCCGGGCTGCAGGTATGAGGAAGGAAGTTAGTGGCAGGCCTTCTTGGTGGGTGGGCCTGGCCCGGGGCTGGCCTGGCCACAACAGGCCCTTGGGTCAGCAGGGTGCAGACTCCAGCCCTTTGCTGGGAGCCTGCTGTGTGTTAGCACTGGTGCTCCCAGCTTGTCTAATCTTGAGGCTCAGGAGGTTAAGCAGCTGTCCCAAGGCCGCTGGAGGTAGCATCAGGCCTTGAATCTGGCCTGAATGCCTTACCACCACCCTACACTGGAAGGGAGCTTAACGATCCATGAGAACAACCTCCAGCAGCTGGCATGTCTGCCTCAGTGGCAAAGGGGCGGCCTTCAGACTCTGAACACGGAGGTCTCTCCGGACACCCGCATCCACCCAATGACGGCGGAGCTCAGTACTTCCCTGTGGTCACTTGTCAAGCTGAACCCTGGTCAGGACTTCCTGTTGTTCACCCCCAGCCAGACATCCCCCCACCTGCCTTCTGCACACCCCCCGTCTCACTTACGGGTTTGGTGGCCCCCTCGGGGGTCCTCTCGTTCCGAGGCGTCTCCTTGCTACTCCTGCTCTTGGTGGACGCGGTCTGTCTGCCTCGGCCCGGGGCGCTGGCCTCCGCCTCGCCGGCGTCCACGCCGCTGTCCTCGCTCAGTGTCTGCCCGCTATCTGAGAGCTGGGAGAGTGTGGAGGCGGCTGGGGGTGGGAACAGGAGGAGAGGGGTGTGTAGAGCTGGGGTCAGTAAGGGCTTCCTGCAGGAGCTGAGGGGCAGGCTAGAAGGCTGGGTGGGGAAGTCCCCAGGCAGACTCCCTGCCACCCGCCACCTGCTTAGACCTGCCCTTCCAACTGGGTCTGGCTCCAAGGCTGCCACTTCCAGGATGTCTGCCTTGACAGCCTCTGGCGAGATGGTTTTTTTAAAAAAAAGGTCAAGAGGCAAATCCAGCCCACATATATGGGTTTGTTTGTTGGTTTTAACTCTTAGTGTTCTCAATATTTAATGATGGACCAACACTTTAAATTAGATTTCACATAAAAATGGAATTCTAAGCTTCTTGGGAAAAGAAAGGAAGGTCTGAAGGAAAAAAAAAAGGAAGGTCTGCCATGCCTGGTCTGTGCCCTTGCTGACTCCACCTGGCCTGAACTAAGGCGTGAGCACACGCCCTCTGGTGCAATAGTCAAACCCAAGCCACTCCACTAGGTATGTAACGGCTTGGCCCCTGAGTTTGAGACACTCTGGAGTCTGGCAGGTGGGGTCTGAATCCCCTCTGACCAGCTGTGCAATCCTGGGTGAGCTACACAGCCTCCCTGAACCCCCATGTTCTGGTTCCAACCCAGGGGCAACGATGCCTATCCCATGGACTATCATAAGCACTAACAAACACGACGTATGGGGTGAACAGGCTTATGCTAGCCTGCCTGGCTCCACAAGTACTGTGTCTCAGCCTCTTTCGTCTGTAAATTGGGGGTAATAACAGTGCCGGCATCACAGAGCTGTTGAGAGAACTGGGTGAGTTACTGACACACGAAGTTCCCAAGAACAGTGTTCTTGGCTCATGGAGAGTGCTATACACCTGTCAGCTTTATTATCATGTGTGTCCGGCTCAGAGCCAGGTCCAGAGCCGTCTCTCTGACAGCTCGGGTTTCCCTCACCACATCCTGCCTTAGCAGCCTTTCCTCAGGGAGCTACTGAATGCAGGGACCCCGCCTTCTGCATCCCAGCCCGTCCCCTACTTGCATACCGCAGGCGCCAGTAAACTTCCCTGACCTGGTTGGCCACCCACCCTCCTTGGCCACGGCGGTCTGACGTGTCACCTTAGCCACGAGATGGCAGCAGAATCCAACAAAACGGACCCAACTCACGACCAGGAGGGAGGGGACGCAGGCCTCGTGGTGGACTCAGCTTACATGGTGGAGACCAGCTCTCCCTTCCCGCCACCTCCCCAGCTGGACAGCCGCTGAAAACCTCAGGGCTACAGCCCCGGGCTGGCCTCCCAGGTGTCTGGAAGGTGGACCCTGCGCTCTGACCCTGCAGCCCCAAGTCAGGAGACCTCCAGGGGTCCAGAGGTGACAATTTCAATGTCCACTTGTCCCTCGGCATCAGCTCTGGGGGACAGAGATCACAAAAGTCACCCCCGCCCTGAATAGGCTCAGTCTTCTTGGGGGGACTGGTAGGTGGGTGCAGGGTGACCAGCTCTGGGGATCCTAGAGCAGAAATCCCACCCTCACAGCCAGCTGGCAGAACTGCTGCTGTTCCCTCCAGCCCCCATGGGACGGCCCAGCAGCCCGGCCACAGTCAGACAGCCAGTGACAGCTGGGACTCACATTGCAGCCTCTGCCTCCAAAGTCCCTCGGGGCGGGCTCGGGACCCTGTTCACCAGCTCCCCTGACCCTTAATGGGGGAGGACTGGGTTCAGAGGCCTCCCACTGGGTGAGTACCTGGTCCCACCTGAGCTGTGTCAATGGGCAGATCAATCCCCCAGTGGGGCACCCCTAAGGGGATGCAGCAGCCCCCCCGAGCCCAGCCCAGTGGGGCCTGCGGTACTCACTGCGTGTCTGGGGCAGCGCCCTCACTTCATTCACATCCGGCTCGCTGTCCGGGCGGTGCACCTCCACCAGGACAAAATGCTGGTTCGTGCCCGCCTGGTCCGGGCGGCCAGAAGGGGAGGATGGCGGAAGGCCACCACCGGCCAGCGTGGCCTCTGCAGGGGGGCTTTTCAGGTGCGGGGGTGACTGGACCCGCGGGAAGGGGCCGATGGGGTGCTGGTTGACCAGGGCCAGGTGGGTGTCCAACGGCCTCTTGCAGCCCGGGTTGGCTGGGGAGATGGAGGCATAGAGAGGGGAGGAGGGTGAGTCCTGTGCTGTGGGGGCCTCCGGCACAGGAGCGGTGCCCGCTGGCGGGCTGCAGTTCCGCGGAGCCGAGAAGACGATGCCCGAGTGGGAAGATGCGGAGGAAGGCGGCTGGAGGTCCTCTCTGCCCAGCTTCCTCGGCTGGTTGAGGAGGTGGTCATGGCCTTGGGTCAGAGGGGGTGGGGGAGGCGGTGGCTTGTAGCTAGGCAGCCCCTTGGAGGTGAACTTCACATCATCCTGCCAAAAGACCCAACAGGAGTAGAAGGAGTCAGACCCCATTGCGGCCGTTAGAGGGGAGACCCGTGAGCCCTGGTGCACCGGACCCTGGCTGGAATTCCGTAGAGTGGGAAGATGCGGAGGAAGGCGGCTGGAGGTCCTCTCTGCCCGGCTTCCTCGGCTGGATGAGGAGGTGGTCGTGGCCTTGGGTCAGAGGGGGTGGGGGCGGCGGTGGCTTGTAGCTAGGCAGCCCCTTGGAGGTGAACTTGACATCATCCTGCCAAAAGACCCAACAGGAGTAGAAGGAGTCAGACCCCATTGCGGCCGTTAGAGGGGAGACCTGTCAGCCCTGGTGCACCGGACCCTGGCTGGAATTCCGTCCTTGCTCTATCAGCTCCTGGCCACGCTGCTCTGAATAATGCAACACCTGAGTGGAAAACTTCTCCTAGCATCTGAGCAGCTGATAAGCATCAGGATCCTGGCGGGTGTCTCTGGGGATGGCATCGTTACCTTCGGGAACTGAACTTCTTGGCATCGGCCAGGGCTTGTCACAGGGAACGGGACTTAATTAGAGGTGGGATGCAGAGATGAAGACTTTGGCTTTTCTCTTTAGGGGATTATCATGGCTCCTGGAGCCTGCAGGTGTGACAGGCTCCTGGAGCCTGGAGGTGTGACAGGAGGTGTGATAGGACTGGGTGCTGTTGGTCCTGGGCAGGGCACAGCACTTCTCTGAGTGCACCTCAGGGCCATAGAGGAAACGACCTACTCAGCAGAACCGTGGGGAGGTGAGGAGTAGCGCGTGTGTTGCACTAGCCAGGGGCCTGAGATCCAGCAGGTGCTTGGTGAGTGGCAGATTCTGTCGTCACTATGCCCCCTCCCTATGCCAGCATCCAACACTGGCATGGCTCTGATGGCCAGGCAGGCACTGTCCCCAATGCTTTACTTAGATTAACCTTGTCATAGGCTTATGGGGTGGTACACTATTATTACACCCCATTTTACAGATGGGAAAACTGAGGCACAGAGAAGCTGAGAAACTTGCCCAAAGTCACACAGTCAGCAGCACAGGGCTGCTGGGATTTGGGATTTGGACCCGGGCTGTCTGGCTTCAGAGCCCAGGCCATTTGAAAGCCACGTGGGTCGGATCACAAAGCGAGACTGCCCGGACCGCTGCTGAGTGCGCACGGGCGTGAGGTCACATTTCTCCCCGTCTCCCGCCGCAGTCATTGGGCCTCCTGGAGGAGCTGTCGTCACACACGTCATGCTTCAGTCCTTGCTATGATAGCGTTCAGATAGCATATCACAAGGAGAACCAACTCAGCAAACAGTCAAACAGCCTGACCGCCCTGCCTCAAAGCCCTGCAACTAGCTGAGAGCCTCAGTCCCCTCCCGGTGGTCTCACCAGGGAGCCAGCCCCCAGGGGCCTCGGGCAGACCCAGGAGGGGCAAAACACAATGAAAGGGTCTTTCCAGAGAGGGGTCTCACCAGAGAAACGTCCAAGAGGGTGTTCACATTGCCCTGGACGGCCTCCCCGGTCTCCTCCAGGTCCAGAGTGTTCTAGAGCAGAGAAGGAAGCCCCGTGAGCAAACACACACTGAGAGTGGGAACCACTTTGCTCTCTAGGACACAGAGCTCTGCGGGCCCTAAGACACCTTCACGGGGCTTCCGTGTTTCCGTGGGAACTTACATGGTAAAACGAATGTTGATTTTCCTGCCATTCATTTTGAAATCAATTTCAAGGAGTTCAAGTTCTTGGAGACTTTCCAGGCCTCCCCGGAGCTACGTGGAAACGTTGCGGGTGGGCTCTGGCCTTGACTGGCAATCCCTGAAGCTCGGCCCATGCTCAACAGGCTCGGCTCCTCAACCCGAGGGCTCTGTCTCCATGATTCCTGCCAGAACCCCCATGGAGGTGTGAAAATGGCAAATGAGGGGCGGATGGGGAAGGTCTCTAGCTCTCTTTTTTAATTAATTGGTTACCCGTTTATTCTGGCTGCACTGGGTCTTAGCTGTCGCCTGCGGGATCTTTCATTGTTGTGCCCAGACTTCTTTCTAGTTGCTCCCTGGCAGGCATGTGACATTTTAGTTTCCTGAACAGGGATTGAACCCGCATCCCCTACACCAGAAGGCGGATTCTTAACCACTGGACCACCAGGCAAGTCCCTCTCTCTCTTTTTTAATTTTATGAGTTTTAATGATATATCCTGGGGGAGGGGGAAAGGGTTAAGGTTTCAGTGGCGCTTATTTTGCAAAGATGCTCATTTGTTCCTTCTCCTCCTAACTTACCAGACGCCTAATGCTTCCTCAAGTGACACTGAGCTGCCGTGAGGCCATGGCTAGACACCCCACACCAGGAGGTTGAGCAGAGCTCTTCTTTAAACTCCTGAGGGGGCTCCTGAGGGCTCCGCAGACACTTCTATCCACCCCGCAGGGCCCAGGATGGCAACAGGCTTCCCTGACCACCACCCAGCTCAAGTCTCAAGTTCAGGGATGACTACTGAGCAGTCTCAGCGCTCCTGACTGAGGGCCTGGGGACTCAGAGGAGGTCACACACCTCCCCTGCCTTCAGTAGCTCAGAGACGGCGTGCACGCTGAGCGGCTCAGCCGTGTACGACTCTTCGTGACCCCCGGGACTGTAACTCGCCAGGCTCCTCTGCCCATGGAATTTTCCAGGCAAGAAGACTGGAGTGGGTTGCTGTGTCCTACTCCAGGGGATCTTCCCAATTCAGGGATCAAACTCGAGTCTCTTGTATCTCCTGCACTGGCAGGCAGATTCTTTACCGTTGCCCCACCTGGGAAGCCCTAGAGACAGTGGGGTCGACACAAATAAGCCAGGAGGAGGCTGCACAGGGTGAGGAAACACAGTTATATAATGCAGCTAAGGAAGAGTCATCTAGGAAGTCTTCCTGGAGGAGGCAGCATGGGTTAAAGCTGGGCAAAGGAAAGAATGGTGGGTGTTTCAGAGGGAGGGGTGTGCATAAAGCTGGGAGGATAGAGGATGCTTGAGAATCTTCAGCAGTTCTCCAGAAGTCAAGAGCTGCTTAGACCTAAGCCTGGGGACAGTGGGTTGCCATGGAGATGTAGTCAGGTCTGCCTTCTAAGAAGATCCCCTCTGCTCACTTCCCTTCGAGTCACACTAGAGCTGCGCCAGCATGTCAGGGCCTTTATACTGGCTCTTCCTTCTGTCTGGAACATTCTTCCCCAGAACTATCCACAAAGTGAGCCCTGTTTGTTCACCTCCTTCAAGGCCTTACTCAAATATTACTCAAATATCACCTCCTCAAAAAGATCTACTCTGACAACCCCACCTAAACTCACAGCCTTCACCCCTGCCCTGCTTTATTTTTCTCCTTTGCACAGATCACTGTCCCTTACCCAGCAGCCAGGATGTAATCTTGAAGTCAGATGATGTCTCACGCCAGCTCATAACCCTCGAGGCTCTTTCCACCTTTAGTGGAGGAAATTCCAAACTCTGCATTCACTGGGCACAGTGAATTCTGGGCCCTTTCTTGCTGCTCTTGCAGCAGGATGGGACGGTTCCTGCCTCAGGGCCTTTGCACTCACTGCTCTGCCTGCATATAGCACTCCTGGCTCATTCCCTCATTTTAGACTCTGGTGAGGCTCTCTTTGGCCAGACCTGTTACAAACAGCACCCCCTCCACCCCCGACACCTCTGTGTAACCCTTGACCCTGCTCCATTTTTCTGTGTAAGATTTGTCACCACCTGGTGGGGTACTATTAATTTGCTCACTGTGACTCTTCCTACTAGGATAACTCCTCAAAGGCAAGACCTGTGACCACCTGGGCCCTACTGGATCTGCAGTATTCAGGACAGCGACTGCTTGGTAAATATTTACTGAGCAAATTAATTAATCCATGAATGAATCGATGGGTGAATGAATTAATCAATAACTCTGGCTGTCATGGGGAGGAGGCCCGAGTAGACAGAGAATTGAGCCAGGCTGCTACAGTAGGTCGCGGAGAGCAGTGATGATGGTTTGAATGAAGGTGAAGGCATGACGAGAGTGAAGGTGTGGGGGGATGGGAGGAGCCCCCTGACTCCATACCCCCAGAGCAGAGGCTGCCAGGTCACTCCATACCAATCCCCGTCTCAAATAAGCCTCCTGAAGCCTTGAGTATTCTGGGCAGGCACCATGGGAACCCCCCAGCCAACAAGATGCTCTGTCCTCCCAGCCATGAGCCTTTCTCACCAGGGCGCCTCATCTGGTCTTGTGACGCCTCTGGGGCAGCGTCAGGCCAGGTCAACTGCCTTTTACCAGCAAAGCTGAGGCTTGTGCAAACATCCTGACATCTCCTGCGCTCCCCACCCTCATCTCTCACACACCACTCCACAGGAAGATGTTCCTGACGGCCTCAGTGATACGAGGACAGGGAGGACCCTTGGGGAGGGGAGGGCTGCTTCTTCCCACCTTGATCAGAGGCACCAGTTCTTGCTTCTCTGAGATCACTCCCAGCTCTGCCACTCAACCCACTGGACTGCTCTGTGCCTCAGTTTCCTCATCTGTAAAATGGGGAAATAGCAGTCCCTCCCTTATGGAGTTGATGCATTAACACCCAAAAAATACTCAAACAGAGCCCGGCACAGTATCTGAAGGGAGGCGACTGTCACACTAGAAACCTGGGATCTTATAAACCTGCCCCGGGACCTGAATGGCTGTCCAGCGTGCCCTGGCCTAGGTGAACACGTTGATGGAAAGAAACAGTGGTCCTCCGATACACCCCCTCCCCCCAAACCGTCGTGTGTCCAGTGCTCCCAGGAGTCAATCCGCCCGGGCAACACAAGCCATCTAGGGTGAAGGTGATTGGCAATGCAGGTTACACGCAATGACTTCCCAAGACTGGGCAGTCACTGCCCTGGCCTCAGCAGGAGGCCCCAAGAGGTCAGAGACCTGGGCGGTGCCTATAGCAAGGACGAGAGGGGCCTCCATCACCTGAAATGTAGCTAGCTACTGCCACCTGCCCCCCAAACTCAGCCTGCAGACACCCTGGGGGCTTAGATGACAGTCCACGGTTGGACCAAAGATATGGGATTCTGTCCTGTTCTGGTATCAGGAGCTTTGAACACGCATTTAGTGGATCAACCAAGCATTTAACAGGCAGCCTTGACTTATGAGGAAAGTTCATGGGGATAAAAGATGAGCAGGTCAGCGTGTTCCCAACACCCACCAGAGGGCCATGCACACAGGAGCTGCCCACAAACTCTTGTCTGGAGTCACTGATGGAAGCTGGCGTTGTGATAGGGCCAAAGGGAAGGGGGCAAGGAAAGACCCAGTCTGATAACACAAGCACGTCTTTGCCCAGCTCCACAGGAGGGTGTGACTTCCTCTTACAAAGGGCATGGGAGGACTCCAAACTGTGGAGGGCCTTGCTGCATGCTAGACCCCTGCTGGGCATTTTATTTACATGGTCTCACTGATTATCCTTATGATCCTCTAAGGTAGGCACTCTGATTGTCCTGGCTCACAACTTTTACACTTAAGCTCAGAGAGAGCAGTGACTTATCCAAGGCAACAGACCTATTCTACAGCAGATTAGGTTTCTAACCCACATCGGGGTGACCCTAAAGCCCATGCAACCTTACCGGGACCCCAGAATTGGATGCTGTAGGAACCAAGGGCCTCCATGAGGAGGACCCTCTCTGAAACAAGACAGAACACAGTCATGGCTGGCCACTGACCTCAGTCACTCCCTGCTATTAATGGCATCCTGGAGCCAAACGGAAGGCAGGGATGGACGGGTGGGAGGGTGAATGTGGAGCGGGGACAGACGTCCAGCCCTGGGAGAAAGGCCTGAAGTGGAGCAAACGGCAGACGGCTTGGAGCCCAGCCCTGCCAGACTCCATCTGCCGAATCCAGACGCTCAGGAGCCCCGAGTCCCCGAGCCGTGTTCCTTGTGCGTCTGAAATAGCTGAAGACAGCAGGCTAAGAACTCGGGGGATGCGTCAGCAGAAACGCTTCCGGGACAGGCTTCGAGAAGAGGATCAAGGTCAGCGCTCACGCAGGGGCCGGAGCGTCTTGGCCTCCTTCCCATCCCCCTCTCAGCCCCAGCTGCTGGGGTGGGGGTGCCTCCTCCTGCACCCACAGAGGCCAGAGAATAGCTGAGGGTTTAGATCTGGCAGCTCAATTAATCCTGGCAGGTGGGACCCTTTCCCATCAGTTCTACAGCCGAGGTGACTGAGGCTCAGAGATGGAAGGCCACTTGCCCAAGGTCACACAGCAAGGACAGAGCAGAAAGCTGAACCCTATTCAAGGTCTGAGTCTGTCATCCAGATGACTCCCCACAAGAGCCAGGATGCCCTCAGGACCTGCGGCGGTGGCTCCCTCATCCCCTTACTCCTCAAATCTGTGGTGGTTCAGGGAATCCTGTCCCTTTCAGAGAGAACTCTTTTATCTTTCTTGGTCGGACTGAGCCCAATCAGGGTTCTAGATATCCCAAGGTCTGGTTCGGGGGTACTGTGGGGCGAAAATGGAATGAAATTATAAGGGGCCATCACCCGAGCTGGCCTCTGCCAGATGGACTCATGGTTCTGGGAACGGAGA